GCTTACTTTAAGGTACCTAGACCAGAAATGGTGTGTATAGCTATTCACCTCTGCTGAGAGCAGCACAAATAGCCTAACGTAAGTAACTCAGAGGAGGGGTTGGCAGGTCCAGGAGGGGTTGGTGAGTCTGAGCCATGGAGGAATGGGGAGAGTTTCCTGGTTGGTGGGGGGGAGGGGTTGTTTGGGGGGGTGGCATTAAAAATTGCCAAGTCAGGGGCAATAAGAATAGCACAGCTGGGGTTGTGGTAAGCAGCTGGGCTTTCCCAGCCTCTGGGCTGTGTTGCAAATGCATGCAGGCATTCAGGGGATTGAGCTAACCCTTTCTCAATCTAAATTAGTACACCTCCTGAGGTGCACTACCGTAGATCAAGCACACCTTTTAATCCTCTGAATGTCTGCACGATTGGGCATTTAGAATGACCTAACCCTGGTTAGGTTGATCTAAATGTAACATCTATATGTATCCTGTGTAATAGATGCTGTTTTTCCCTCTTGACGATCCAATATGTATTTTGGTTTAAGCAGGGTTAAAAGTGAGGTTACTTAAATGGGACTACATAATTTATGGTACAAGTGCAAACTTCTTTCTGAATTTCTAGAGTTTTTAACATTTGGGATTTACTTGTTAAGCCTAATATTCTTGGAAAATAAGGTAGACTCAGAACAATAGTGAGTATCTACAATCTTATTCACCTTAAAATATTCCCTATACAGAACCTAAGTAGGACTATACAAATCAAAATAGTCTATAGGCATGAAATCCTACCAATCTCTTTGTCCAACTTAAAGGTCCAGTATAGCACATAGTGAGATTGATTAATATTTGGGGAAGCAATTGTTTCTTATTCTCTAATAAACTAATGATGTGCCAGATACTGTAAGTAAAAATAGGCAACTTCAGGTCAATGTAAATTTACTGTCAGGTAGTCTGAAGTGCTACCTTCTAGGATTTAGTTGCATCCCAACAATCAGTCTTGCTGTAATGTAATGAGTATGAAGCTAAAAAATCATATAGTTAAAAAGAACAATTAATATACAAACTTTACCACTTAATTTATGAGCAATTGGGAGCATTTTATTTAAGAAATATTCCTATATGGATACAAAAGTATGAAAGAGAACAATTTTATTTCAATATTGGGACAGATTTTAATTATATCACAATAAACCTGCTGATTGTCAATTTATACAGATATCCAAATCTCTTCATCTATTGATTCTGAAGTACCTTCTGAGAAGACACAAAGAGAAAATAAAAAGTACTAGAGGCATACAATTTCCTTTACAGAGCCAGGTAAATCACAGTTTGCAAAATCTTTTTTTTTTTTGTTAGAGTAGAAAATGGTTAGAGAAAGTATTACAATATAATAATTTATTCTTCTGTTCTCTAACTATTCATCAGACTAACTTGGCACAGTTTATCATAAGTTGCATCCATTTCCTACAAGATAGAAATTTTCCTGATTTCCATAACAAAACAATAACACTTTTTGCTACTGTGATACTACTGAAACCATTTGAGATATCCAATGGTATTTCTGTTTTTGAGAAGTAAACCAAAATTTTATCTGTTCTACTCTAATTTGGTAAACTACGTCTGAAACTTTGGTCAAACAAAATTTTACATATTACTGATACCATATCCATGTGATAAATAAATGCTTATGCCCTCCTTACCATGCTAGAAGACTGGTATGATAATTCATCTTGTAAAATATGAATAGGTTCAAATGAATGAAGAGATTAATAAGATTATTTAATGAGAACATCAGCACCCCTTAGTCAATACTTCTATGGAGAAGAAAGGGAATTGTGATTGTTGTAGGTGTTGTACTGAAGTCAAGGTTGTGGTTGTGGGGTTATGGTCACTCTAATATGGCCATACTAGTCTCACCAGTAAAAATTTCAGCTCTTCCTTTTTTTTCTTGTGCCATTTTCCAGTAATCAAGCTTTCTTCCCTCGCTCTATCCCTTTCCTTCCAGTTAGTTTTCTTTCACTAAGATTTCCAACCTCCTGGCCTCCAATATCTCCCTAAGCATCTCACCTTGGACTTTAGCTGCCTCTCTGCTAGAAGAAGCAATGTAATGAGTGTACTATTTGTCTATAATAATTAGAGAATTGATGCTGAACAGAATAGTCATGGCAACAAACCTCAGCACAAGACAAAATTCTCTGCTAGCATAACAGATCAAGACTCCCTTTGAGATCAATGATTCTTGTGTCCATTCTTATCACAGAAAGTAGACTCAGTACACTACTGGTACATGGTTTAGGAAGACACATTTGTCTTGCTTCCTCCAAGTTAACGCTGAGATTTGCCACATGAGAAGTTGCAATTTCTGAACTAATGTTCAAAAATTTAGTTTTCAAATAGTCTTCTCCCTCTCCATTTTTCACATTTTATTTTCCAAATATATAAGAACCCTACTTAAAAAATGCCCTGGGTGGGGAACACCTGGAACAAGTGAAGGAAGAGGCTTTTTCCTTACATAAAGGACATACTATTCTTCCTAAAGGGCATACTATTCATACAGTTCATATTTGCTCCCAACTAATTTAGTTGAACGTTTTACTTATTGTCTATTGCATGGGTGTCAAAGATATGGCCTGGGCTACATGGAGTTACATCACCTGGCTACTGGTGCTGGCCCTGAGTCTGAGCTGACCCTCATGCCACACATGGTACATGGTGGACCAGCCCCACACACAGGGCCTGGGACAGCTGCTTCATGTGGCACCAACTCCAGGATTTCTGTTGTACACAGCACCTGCATGGGGCCACTCTATGATCCCCCCCCCCACCTGCCAGATACAGCACCCGCAAAACCCACTCCGGCCATTCCAGGATGCATGCATGCAGCACTTGCTCCAGCTGGTCTTGGGTGGGTGCTACACACATAATGGGTTCTGGAGTGGCTGCTACATACAATGTAGTCCCAGACCAGCCAAACCAGGGTCTGCATACGGCCTTGTGGTGGGGAGGGGTCCATGTGTCCCCCACATGCCAGATCAAGCACCTGCTCTGGTCAGACCAAGATTGTGCCGCAGTGCAGCATCTCATCTAGATGGTCCAGTATCTATGCTGTGTGTGGTGCCCACCCTGGACTGACCAGAACAGATAGCACATGTAGCTTGCATCTTGGGCTGGCCAGAGCAGGTGCTGGAACTAGCATGGGGGAGGAGAGGTTGGTTTGACACCCCTAGTCTATTAGAATGAAGTATCGTTCATTGTACCCTCTAGTCTCTTTATCCATATACTCAGCCAAAGTGAAATTTCCTTGAAACATCCTCATCAAATATAAGAAGGCATATGATGTACCTACCAGGTTGCTTAGATTACTCCCCTTGACTATCTATACCAGCCCATAATTATTACCAGTAAAAGTCACTGCTACTGTACATTGTGTGAATAGTTCTGTCACAGGAGGAAGCTCAGAAATGTCAAAACCTATTAAACTGGGGTGTGCCTAGGAGTCATGGACATATATAGAATCATCAAAAAGACTTTATATCAAGACTGTAAGTGTCACATAAGTTCTTGGAATGAATGTAAATTCTCTTGCAGGAAAAAAAAATACCTGAAAGCCTTCACCCTGGAGGAAAATGCATATACCAGCTTGTCTGGGATCAGGATAATCATAGGATCATAGGGTTGGAGGGAGCTCAAGGGTCATCCCTGTAGGAAGACTAAATGCAGAAAGCTGAAGGTGTTTAAATAGTCAGTACAAAGCTAGGCTCAGGGAGACACGCTTGAAAATACAAGAACCAGTGAACTTTGTGTCTGCACCTACCCACTTCCCATACAATTGATCAGTAATGGCTTTTCCACAAAATAAATAATTTTGTGCTCTGTGAAAGTTGGCTGTTCACTGATTAAGTCTAAGACTGCACCAGAAAGGGAAAAAGAATTGCAGCTGCTAAACAAAAAGTTTAAGGTGATTACACCTATTTACATTTTCACAGACATCTTGTCACACTTTTAGCTTCTTTCATTCCTTGGAGTCTCAGAACAGCAACGACTCCCTATGCTTGAAGAAGGTGATTGTCCCCAAAAGCTTGCAAAGAACTTTTTCCCAACTACTTAGTTGGTCTAATAAAAGATATCACATCTACACAAAAAACCTTGCCAGCAAGGTGATTACATGGAATGCCAGGGGAATGATGCCATAGACCCTGGTCTTTAGGGAGAGGGAGGTAAGTTCCTAACAGATACAGGTGACTGCATGTGGCCTGAGACCTGAGCCAAATGCCCTGGGGGAGGCCATAGGAAGTGTTAAAAGTACAGTTAACACTGAAACGGTGACAAGTTCCTTTTCTTCCATCTCATAAATACCAGAGTAATTATCTCCTGTCAGGATAATACCAGGACATCTTGATCTCTGAGTCAGTACCAGAGTGATGGGCATGTTAAATACTCTGTCTGTCTAGGCTACATCTGAGAAAGTGGAGAGATACAGCTTACTAACTTGCTCTAATAGGCAGAAAAAATAGCTGAAGACATTGAGACGTATCTTGGGGGTCCCAAAATTAGAAATTACTTTAGCAGAGGAAGAGTTACCTAGCAAGTTAAAATCTGATTCTGTGATGACTGGAGCATATGAACTGGCTTCTCCAGTCTGTTTGTAAAGATTTTTACAAAAAAAATGTAACAACTCTGACTCTGACACTGATAAGTCTCATCAAGTTCCCAAGGAATCTTTGATTTTAAGGTAATTAAAGTCCCTAAGTAATTCTTGATGCAAATCTTCCCAGTATATCATATGCAAACTTGGGGATAATTATGAAGTTTAGATCTTTTATTTTAAATAATTCATCTACTAAGTGTCCAGATATTTCGTCTCACCAAATTATATAATTAATTACTATAACCTCTACCGTTTAAATTAGCATTCAGGATTTCCCCATCTCAAGCACGTAAGGTTTGCATTATGGTGCCAGCCACTGTCCAAATATTAAGTAAAATGTTGTACCTGGTTCTTATATTCCTGGAACTGACAGTTAACAAGATTAGTGTTGGTCAGTAATATTTTCAAATTACAATATATGCAGTCAATTGCTTGGGTCAATTGCTTCCCTAAGAGCCAAAAAAAGAAGCTTGCTAGATTTGTTCCTGTACATTCCAACTCATTTTTTCTGTTTATCACTTCAGATTATACTAGATTGGTTTTAATTGGATCATGTGTGCCCTTTGAGGAATGACACTGAATATACTCAGTCTTTGGCTTTATTTTTTAAATGACAGTTTGGAATCTATACTTTGTATCTAAGTGACAAAATAAGCCAGTATGTACTTTGCTGTGTGGTATCTTTGTCACTTAAAAGGTTTCCTAGGTCATTTTAGACATTCTAATGGTTATTTGCCTCAAAGAAAAATGGTATTTGCTTAGAAACAATTAACACACTGTCATTTATCCTGAAGACAAGTGCAAAGTTGTCTGAGAGTCAGGCCAGGACCTTTTCTTTACTTACCTTTTTTTAAAAGCATGTTCTTTCCAGTAGTCCTAGGCAGATTCCATAGTGAAATTCAAACCAGCAAACTTGCACCTACCACAAAAAGGAGTTACCAACTAATGTTAGCACAAGTCAAAAATGCTCAGATGTCAGTTAGATAACCATACCCCTTTGCTCCCTTGGAGACAAAGCCTAGGTAAGAAAAGAAGCTTTGCAAGGTGTCCTCAAAGGCAGCAGAAATCAGACTCAGATGGAGAAAAGGAAAAGCATATTCAAGAATTGAAGACCACATACCATTGAAAATGGAAGTCTCCACATATATACATGTAAGAAACGTTGGTTCAAGTGTCCCACTTTCTTCAATTTTCAGTGTAAAGCTTGGGGGAATAAAAGATGATCATTAAGATCAGAATCTACGGCAGAACCCAAAGCATGCAAAATGCATTGGATTCAAATCACCATATGACATAAAACATTCCCAGAACTTTCATGCAGCTATAGTGTCAGTACATACTGCATCTCCATCATGTACATTCCCTATAGATATGTAAACTCAGCTGTTCATTACCTCTAGTTCTAGCTGAAATCTTCTGTTTGCATCTTGAATATTATAACGTGATTGCTTTTGAAGGATAGATGGCAAAGAACTTGTTGCTTTCAGCTTGGTTTGTCAGTGATTCAGTTGAAAATTATAATTTTTTTTCTTTGTGTTTACTACATGACTATTAAAGATGTAGTTTATTTGGAAGGAAAAGGAGATTCAAATCTTTCTTAAATTCTTCTGGGCTTTAAGGTTTGCTAGGTAGTCGAGCTATTTTTAGATATTTCACTCTACAGAGTACACCCATAAGCAGGTATATGAATTCATAAACAGATTTTTTTCCAGGGCAATGCAGCTCCACTTCATAGAGGCAATAAATCCTTTAATCTTTATAAACAAAATAAAAATACTAAATGGTTGCCTGCCATTTACATTAACCTTTTTAAAGGTCTTCTGCACTCTGATTTATTCAAGCAGATTTTTACTGTTATCCTTTATCTGACAAATTCTCATAGATACTAAAAGTTGTCTAATAATATCACCTCCCATAAATTATTTTTCTCAGCAAAACTCGGCAAGCACTTAGATCCAGGAGCTTCACCATATACTAAAACACCATAGAAGGGAAAATGATAGAGGATCCTTTGTTTAGAATGGGATTGTTATAACTCCTATCATAAGTGTCCCTTGCTTAAGAGAATTTTATCTTTTTCTATTTTTAAATACAACAGCCCATTAAATCTCCAGATTTTCCTGGAAACCTGGATAACAGAAGTGGCAAAGAGCACATTTTCTATTTGTGCTAGAATTGTGGACAATTTTCATTTTGGATGCAAATTATTTCAGTGATGCGGCCTTTTACAGCT